GCAGGTGCAGGTACTTCTGTATGGGATGCTGGTGCCTCAGCAAAGTCTGCTGCAGATGCCAATGCTTCTTCTGCTTTGGTAGCATGACCTTCCAAAGCTGTTTCTGCTTGCTGGCTGGGGCCAGGTTGAATGGGTGGGTGAGCATCAACTGGAGATGTTGGGGCAAAATCATCTGCTGGAGATGTTGGCTCCAGAAGCTCCTCAGCTAGGTCTTCACATTGGGCAGGGGATGGTTCAGCCTGAGGAGGCTGGCCACCCTGAGGGAGTGGCTCAGGCTGAGAATGCTGCTCACCCTCAATTGGAGGCTTTTCTGCTTTCTTGGCCCCTCTCCCTCTCCCTTTGCCTCTGCCTCTTGCTTGCTTTGAAGCAAACTTCCCTGCCACCTCCTTGCCTTTGCCTCTCCCTCTTCCTTTCCCCTTTCCAGCACCTTTTCCTCTCCCCCTCCCCCCTGCCCTTCTTTTGAGCACCCAATAAGATATGGCCTTCAATGGCAACCTTTTGCTTTTGCCTCTTGACCTTTTCCTTCTCACCTTTGATGTCAGGATCATTTTTTGTTTTCAGTATCTTCTTCCACCAGGTCTAAGAGGTCTTGATATTCTGACAATTTATCATCATCTTCATCCTCTTCAGCCATTTTGCCTTTGGCACTGGACAAGGCTAATGCCTGCTGGATCTCATCTTCAGCCTTCAAAAATTGCTCCACAACTGCTTTGTACACTTGAGCTTTGTTTGGCTGACCAGGCAAGTACACATTGCAAGCTGCAAGAACTTCCTTGGCTTCCTTAACAGTTAACTCTAAACCACTTTTGACTCTGGCAAGGCCAAGAGGAATCCCTGGACCAGTTTTCTCTAAACACAAGGAACCATGTTCATTGAGCAAAACTGGGTGTGCTGGGATTTCAACCCATTCATCCAAAGTGACAATGTGGTGAAATTGAAGTGCTGTATCTTTGGGGATACATCTGTAGGTGGTGGGGTTCATGCCACTCAAAGACTCCATAGCCCAAATGAGGACACCACTCACAGACTTGCTGATGACAAGGCCCACCAAACTTGTGGACTGGGATGCAATCAGGTTCCCTGGCTTTCCTGCTAGGCAGTTCAAGCAAACTTTGGCACTGGGGGCATTCAATAGCATCTCCAGTGCTGCCACCTCTTCAAATTGAGATGCATTGGAAGTTGCAGGCCAAAAGTGTTGGCCACTCTTGTGTTGCATCATTTCTTGGTACTCCCTTTGCATTCTATGGCTATTTGGGTTGGTCAGTGGCACAAAGGCTGGCATGCCTTTTGCTGATGCTGTACTGAGCTCCAGTTCAGACACTGAAATGTGTTCAGTCATCCTTGTTTGGAAGACCCTGCTGTTGATAACAGCTGCTTGTTTGCATGTCCTGGACCTTATATTGTGTCGAGATTCATTCAGGCAATCTTTTGCACTCTGGTGAGTGTTTTCAACACAAAGGGTATCACCAAAATTGGTGATCAAAGGTTTGATCAACATTGCAGCTTCTTGGGTCTTTTGATCACAATCTCTTTCATTGAGCAAGAAGGCAAGCCTGGGCAGGCATCCATGCAAAAAGTGGAGTGAGTCCAATCCTTTCACATATGAACCATTCAAATCATTCTCCTCATGCTTTGCAATCTTTTTCCACTCTGCCTGCATAGCTTTCTGGGTAGATTGAACTTCAAAGGGCTTCTCAGAAAGCAAGGCACTGTACCTAATGGGTGGCCTGCAGTAGAAAGCACTAAGGCTGCTTGCCCTCTTTCCCATCAAGGTCACAAGAAAATCATAGTGAATGCTGAGTCTTGCTTGCTTGGTGGCTTCTGAAGTGCTTTGGAAAGGGTAAAGCTTCTTTAGTGCACTGGTGGACAAAAAGCCTTGAAGCACTAGCTCCAAAATTTCTGATTTCCAGCCTCCTTGGCTTTGGGATATGGTGTGTTTGGCAGACTGGGCAGGTGTCAGGAGGTTCTTTGACATCCAAGCATGTGCTGACCAGCAAGGCTTGGCAAGGACAACTATTGCATTTTTCTGCCAAAATGATGCTGGTGTAACAAGGAGTGGGGCCAAACCCCAGCTGCCATGCTTTGCCTTCAACTTTTTGAGCTGCTCTCTGTCACTTATCCCAGGATGATTGGGCACTGCCATGGTCTCTTCTGATCTTATGAAATCAGAACCATCAGTGACTGTATATTTCTCAGTCTCCAGCATGATTAACTTGTTCATCCAAACTTCTCCATCAAAGAACTGCTCTGACTGGAAAAAGGAATAAAATCTCATAAGTTTGACCACTGGGCCCAGTGATCTCACAGAGTTTAAGTCACCAATGGATCTGAAGAGGTTTTCCCTTTCTGCAGCACTTGTAGGCTCTGCAATTTGCCTTTCCATGC